GTTCATTGAGCCAGTTAGAGTCTCAGTTTGGCTTGGCCCAGGAATGGCTGCAGCTTCCTTCTGAAGGTTAGGTTCAAGGCACAGCAGCCTGGGACAAGGTCCAAACGTGTTCCCTTTTTTTGGGGTGAGAAGGTAGGTAGAGGAAAGAAGGATACTCAAGTCATCCCAGGTGAGATCATTAGACTGGTAAGCCCTTTCCTTACAAATCAGACAGGGAAAAGGGGACATGGACCTGAACAATTCCCTTGGCTCCCACCACCTCCCAAAAGTGGAAATCGAGGAGCAAAGGGTGAGGACAGGGCATGAAATTTCAGTCTGGATCAAGAATGGGACAGAGTCCAACAAGAGAAACATAAGGAGGGGGCTTTGACTCAGGAAGCACTGGATAGGCAGATGGGACGGGTGCCGGTTGGCTGGAGGCTTGTCTGGAGGACATGACGCAGCTGCGGTAGCTGCAGCTGGGAGCCCTACTGGAGGAGCAGGGCCATAGGAGGTGTTCCGCTGAGAGGGCAGGAGGATGCTAAGGGAAAAGGAAGTCAGCAGGGTCCTTGGTCAGGGAGGAATTGGCATGGAAGGGAAGCAGAGAGGGCACAGACAGGGAAAGGAGGAGCATGGGAGAGGCTTCGCATAAAGAGCACAGCAGGAAAGCGTAGAGTGTAAGTAATGCACCAACATGAGCTATTTCAGGCCACTCCTTTAACCCATGGCAGTAATTATACAGATCTTGCAAAATGGACACATCAGACACCATGGACAGGCCACCAAGACCTGTTGCCCAGGTCTGTGGCCATGGTGTGTTATAAAAAAATATCAGCTACTCGGGTTTCAGTAGCTTCAGCTACTGAATAGATAGAGAGGTTTGAGATTTTTGTAGCAGGCAGGGAGGATGAAAGGGAATAGAAGATATAGAAACCCAGGTCTGAGGAATGGATGTTGCTGGGTGGTCTCAGCTAAAGGAAAGGAGGCTCAGGAGAGGGCTTGGGGTCCCCTCATAGAGGGCTCTCTCCTGTGGCTTGGCATCAGACATAATGAATGACGCAAGGTAGAGACTACTGGACAGATTTTTGTAAAAACAACGAGGCATAGGATTTAATTCCTGGGTGCAGACAGACCGAGGAGAAAAAGACTGTCCATGAACAAAGAAGTGTGGGGGCTCTTTTATGGGACTTGCACAGGTGGGGGTTTGGCAAGGGACATTATGTGAGGTCTGAGCAAGCATCAGTGGCCAGAGTCCTCAGAGTGTCCAGTTCAAGTGTATGGATGTCCTGGTGTCAGGGAGGTTCTGTGCTCTGTCTTCCCTCCTAAGAACCCCGTCTTGTGTTGGCCAAGGGCAGCCACACCTGTGATGAGCTAGTTTTTTCCGAGAACAGCATGACTGCTGACATATGGATGCTGGGAAAGTCCTGCCCAAGTCTAGCTTGATAGAAAGGAAGGCAGGCAAGCAAAGTGTTGGCTTCTTGGGTATCTGCTAATAGTGCCATCCTCAGCCGCGTGTCCAGCTGTGGTGCACATGTGCAATCCTAGCACTTAGGGGGCTGAGGAAAGAGCATTGTTAGGGGTTTGCGGCTAGTCTACATAGTGAGTTCAAGGCCAGCCTGAACTATGTAAAGAGATCCTGTCTCAAAAAAACCCCAAAAGGCATAATAATAATGATGGTGCCACCATATCCCCTCCTCCGAATACTGTCGTGTATAAGAGCCTGGAAGTGATTTGTTTTTAAAGTAAAGAAAGTTTTAGGGGCTGGTGAGATGGCTCAGTGGTCTAAAGCACCTACTTAGAACAAGCTTAGCAAAGCCCAGCGACCACAGTTCAATCCCCCAGCACCACATGCTAACCAGCCCTGCCCCCTGGTGGGCTGAGCTGGCCACACACATACACACACACACACACACACACACACACACACACAGATAAATTTTTAAAAAAAGAAAGTTTTATACACACACACACACACACACTCATAGAGTTGTGAAAATACCACATGTAGTGAAGTGCAGGCACAGAGTCAAAAGTCTCACGTGGCTGCCGCGCCCGCCCCGTCCCTCGGCACCCTGCTCCAGCTGTCTGCCCGTCCCTCCTGTAGACCTCATGTACATCCTGTGGCTGTTCTTCGTGGTGCTGGCCTGGAACTGGAACTGCTGGCTGATTCCTGTGCGCTGGGCCTTCCCCTACCAGACGCCTGGCAACATCCACCTGTGGCTGCTGATGGATTACCTGTGCGACCTCATTTACCTCCTGGACATCACTGTCTTCCAGATCCGCCTGCAGTTTGTCAGAGGCGGGGACATCATTGTGAGTCACAGGCAGGCAGAGGGGGGACCAGAGCAGATGTCACAGCCAGAGCTTCCAGGGCCTTCTCCCTGATGCTACGATGAATGCCAAACTCAGTGAACAAGGAAATCTCAGGAGCAGCTGCCGGTGCATGTCAGCAGCGCAAGTGCTTAGTCCGCATACCTTTCATAGGGTCAAATGATGCATGTCCCGTGTTCATTTGGTCTCTGAACCACTGATATAAGAAGGATGCAGAAGTGGTCCAGCACGTGGGCTTTGGGACAGGTGTCCGTGGCTGGATCGCCTCTCTGGGCCTCAGTTTCTCACCTGTAAAATGGGTTTGGTGCTAGTTCCTGTCAAGTAGCAGTGGTGTGAAGTTCAGTTGCAATGGTGGACACAGCATGCTTGGCTCCAGCAACTGCTGGCAATCACTGTATCCTGGGGCTCCTGAAAAGGGCACGGTGACCTCTGTTACTTGGGCCACTGTGAGACTCCATACCCTGGGTCAGGCCCCACTTACTGAGGAGGAAACTAAGGTTCTGGCTGTGACTCATCAAAAACAGGTGGTATAGTCCGTCTCCCTGTGCAAGTCCCTCTGAAATTCCACACTGAGGGTGGGGCTGGAGCTCAAAGGTAGAGCAGACAAGTTGCCCAGCACGCGAGGGCCTTGGGCTGGATCCCCAGGGTGGCCGCACAGGCTCTCCTGTATGCAGACAAGTTGAAGTTTTGCCTCTTAAATGACTTTGAGGAGTTAGGGCTGGTGGTACATTACCAAACCCCTGTGGCGGGATATCTGTCTAACCTGCCCAGCAATATGGCACACGGATACAAAAGAAAGACAAAGACAAAAAGTTCTTCAGTTGAGGAGCTCTAGGATGACTCAATATTCTCTCTGGAACAAAAGCTCTTGGCTTTATTGGTGTCCACCAGGGAGGTGGGTGGGGCTCTTGCCAAGTGCATTGGGAGAAGCAGCTTTGTAGGCGCGCCAGGCTCAGAGGCCCCCAATCAGCAACGCACAGGTAGTTTTGATGTGTGCAAGGCTGGCATCCTTCCTGCCAAGAACATTTGTTTCAATATAGCCAGCTCCACATAGCTCAGTAGAGGAGAGGTCAGGCGCAGGTTGTGGCAAGAGCTTTGTTTCTCAGGAGACAGCAGCGTAGCAGCCTCGCACAGTAAATCCCTGCAATACCAACATGCAGGAGGCTGAGGCAGGAGGATGTAGTGTGTCATGTCAAAAACAAAGCAAAACATGAATAGCTTAGAGGAAAGAGAATTCTCTGGCCATTCTCTTCCCTAGTCTGATCAGCGCAGTGGCCAGCTCCTTGGGGAGTTAAGTTGAAAGTGGCCCCAGGAAAACTTACACACTAGGGAATGAGCCTTGGGGCCCTTGCTTGGCATCCAGGAAACCAGGATCTAGCTGGTGACCATAGACAGTGCCCTTCCCGCTGGGCCTCAGCTGCTGAAGCTCAGCAGGTCCTCTCTGACTCCACTGCTGCAGGCTGCTCTGATAGGGAAGGGAAGGGTTTCTGTGTGGGGACAAGGGAGGGGTGATTCCATGGTGGCTTCCTGTAGGTCAGGAGTTAAGCTCTAAAGCCATCTCACTGTCATTATTCCATTTTCTTCCAGATGGACAAGAAGGAGATACGAAACAACTACCTGAAGTCTCGCCGATTTAAGGTGTGTGTTGGGGTAGAAGATGTAGTGGCTGGGAGGGCCCCTGGGCTGAGTAGTTGGGAGCCCATGTGACACGGTACCACTGGAGGGCTGCTGGGCACAGCTCCCAGGGGTGTGTCCATGGGCGTCCCCTCTGTCCCTTCTGGGGCTAGCGCAGACAGGGTAGTACTCAAAGGTCACCTTTCTGGTCTTTATCCTTCTGCTCCCTTTGTGGGGGGAGGGCACAGTGGCCATTGTCACAGCAATGGAGCTGACATTGGACTGGGCAGGCAGTCCTGGAAGCCACGTAGGCTTCTTGGTGGGCACCTCCTGGCCTCTGGGGGGAGGCCCTCAGGGACGTTCTGACCTCCCCTGTCTGTGGGGGGCAGACTCCACTCCTCATTCACTCATGCTTAGACCGAGGGCTACATGTTTGACACACTGTGGGGTCCTCTTGGGGTTTCAGATGGACGTGGTCTGCCTCCTGCCCTTGGATTTCCTCTACTTGAAATTTGGGGTGAACCCCCTTCTCCGCCTACCCCGCTGTTTAAAGGTGAGACTGGTGGCTCCTCCCTGCTGCCTTCTGTCCTCCAGGGCAGCTGGGGACGGGAAGGTGTCCCCAGGGGAGCTGCTTGTACTCTCAGCCCATCTTGGTGGAAAGGGATTCCAGTGGCTGTGCCTCTGCAGCACCACCTGTGGGGTACGATCAGGTGCTGGCTCCTCCACCCTGAGACTTGAGTGTTGTTCTGAGCACACTGTGAAGATGAGGGGCCCAGGGTGTAGACAGGCTGAGCAGCTGGACTGAGTCACAGGGATAGGAAGGAGTGGAGTCGACCCACATGCAGGCAGCCTGCTTCCTCCACTGGAGTCTCTTAGTAATTACGGGGCTGCACCGGGGGCTTCTGCCTTATGACGGGCTCCACTGTAAAGATGGCAGTTTGGCACGTACTGAGTTAGGAGCAGGCAAGCACCAGGCAAGTGCTGGTCAGTGCACAGCCCCTCACCACTTGGGTACTGGCCGGTGACGGGTGGTGTTCCAGTGTTTAACCTGCCTTCTGTGGGGCAGAGCCCTGCTCCCAGGGGGTCGGCCGGGCACAGTGCGGACTGCAGCCTGGGCAGCTGCTCTTACAGGAGCGCAGGGTAGACAGCGGCTCAGAGCCCCCGGGACCCCCAGATGGCTTTGGCTGGCCAAGCGATTGAATTCATCTTTCTCTTTACACGATGCCTCATGCTTTCGGTTTTGTTTGGGAGAGTTTTTTGTTTGGGGTTTTTTGAAAAAAAAAAAACAACTTCTCCTCATTTATGCAGTTCAAACTGGCCTTGAACTCACTGTGTAGCCCAGTCTGGCCTCTAACTCATGACAATCCTCCTGCCTCAGCCTCCCAAGTGCTGCAATTACAGGTGTGCGCCACCATGCCTGGCTGATGTTTGGTGCCTTTATCAAAAATCAGTAAATGATGGAATTTATTTTAAAAAAAAAAAAAGAAGTAAATGCAATGAGAGAAATATGCCAGAGAATGCTAGGACAAGCAAGCACACCACACTAGCTCTAAGCCCAGAAGCTACCAAGGGGAAGAGGAGAAGGGGCGCCATTCCAGGCCTCCAGGGGCTGCAGAAGCTGCTGGGGAGCCAAGCCTCATGTGAGAAGGGCCGAGCCTTTGGGCCAAGTCGGATCTCAGATGTGGAAGTGAGACGCCTCACGTGGCAAGTGTGGTGTGTGCACACACGGGCTTGCCATCTGGCCCAGCTTAGAGGGGGCAGCCTCTTGAGCCCCAGAAAGGCCCAAGCCTGAGGTTGTCCCGCAGCCAGCGTAATCTCTGGATGGTGTTAGAATGGACACCTGGATGCTGACTAGCACATGCCCTAGGACAGTGGTGGCGAGTCTGTGGCACTTGTGGCATCTGTGGCGTGCTGCAGTAGGCTGTTTGTATCACTGAAAGCTCTAAAAGGTTCTCCACCACTCCCTGAGGACATTTGCATTGATATTATTTTCCAGTATCAAAAATCCAGTGTGGATAAGCATGTAGAGGAGGTGCAGCATAAAGCAAACGGCTGGAAGCTCTGAGGCTGATCTGGGTTCAGGGCTGCCCCCCACTCCCAGGGGGCTCCAGACAAGTCACCAGACTGTCCCAAGTGTCAGTTTCCTCTCTGACAAAGGAGAATGATAGAGTGTGGGCTGTAGCTCACTGGTGGGACACTTGTCTAGCACGCAAGATCCTCAGCCCTGAAAAAAAGATAGCACATATTTCATAGGTAAATAAGAAATAAGATAGGTAAAGAGGCACTAATCTTATAACTGGAGCTCAGTAAAGTAATTAGCATTTTACTTTTGTTACCTTACACAGCCTTTGAAGGACATAGTGGGGGTTGTAAAGTGTTTTATTATAAAATCGTTTTCTTTATAAGTGAACATGCAAAATAGGGCCTCTACCTTGGGACGCATGAACATCCAGAAGCTTCATGATGGGATTAAAAAGGTCTGGGAGTCCCCAGAAAGACTAAGCCAGCAGAGAGAACACAATTATATAGGACATGGCTGCCATCAGATTCCTAAATGGGGTTTCCAGCCTCAGCTGCCCAAGGGCAAAGTATCCTTTGGTTTGATTGTTCACCCTCTGTCCAGCCCCTCCCCCTTCAGGGAGACGGGCCTCTGTCTCACACCCCAGGGGGAAGGGCAGGGAGGTGAGGGCAGGGTGCACCCAGGACAGCGGCTGCCCCTGATGCCGTCCTCTTCCTCCCAGTACATGGCCTTCTTCGAGTTTAACAACCGCTTGGAAGCCATCCTCAGCAAGGCCTACGTTTACAGGTGAGACACCCCTGTACCTCATGCACATGCATGAACATAAGTGCACACTTCCCCCGCGTGCACACTGTATGTGTGCACTTGCACACCCAGGGTGAGGCATCCCCTGCCCATTTCTGCCCCTTTCACCTCCCCTGCTCTCCAGCCCCCATTGCCTGTGGGAGCCAGAAGCTGGGCTTCTTCCTAGCCCAACCCCTTCTCTTCAGGGATGTTTGTTCTTTAGAGAATCGGGATTGTCCCATTTCTTCTAATTGTAACAGGATGACAAGAGTGGCCCACTAGTATTCTGGCTCAGTGCAAGGATCTGAAGCCACCAGTGTAGCTCCAGGGGAAGGCAACATTTATAAGGATAGTGGGTGGCTCACAGACACCAAGGTTGGGCACTAGACCGGCCAGCCACGCTAGGGGAGCAGGACTCCCAGCACCTCTCTCCTGGGGTGCACAGCCTCACCCTCACTGCTCTGCACACCCCGTCCACTACCTGCTCCTCCCAGGGCCACGTTTCTCCTCTGACCCCACCGCCCCAGAACTCACGTGTGCAGCTAATGCTGCCACCCCACGGCAACTCCAGCCCTGAGTCTTCGCACGCTCCCGACCCACCATCACCATCCTTAACTGGCTCAGCCTTAAAGAGTCCCACAGGGCTGGGCCAGCTGCAGCTGCATCCAAATGGCCAGGTTTCCACCCTTTGCACAGCTGGGCAGAACTGTGTGGCTCCACTGGGGGACCTCTGAGGTGGGCTTTGAGGGAGGTGAGGGCTGGCTGCCTCCCCACAGTCCCGCCTGGAGGTGTCACCTCCACTCTCATAGCTGTGCCCACGTTCCTCCTGTTCTGCAGGGTCATCAGGACCACAGCCTACCTGCTGTACAGCTTGCATCTGAACTCGTGTCTTTATTACTGGGCCTCGGCCTTTGAGGGCCTTGGCTCCACTCACTGGGTTTATGATGGCGTGGGAAACAGGTGAGCTCTGCTTCCTCCACAGCCACATCTGGGTGGTCTTGTTCTTCATAACTCATAGCACAAAGACTCCTAGAAAGGAGTCCATTGCCACCATGTTGCCAAGGCTGCCTTGCTTCCAAGGAGTCATTGGCAGGACAGGGTTCAAGGGCCCCATCTCCACGTCTTCCTGAGCACATGCTGCATGCCAGGCAGAGGGTAGACACACAAACGAGACTTGCTAGGAAGGTCTTCTCAGCACAGCCAGGCGTGGTGGTGCACACCTATAATCCTAGTACTCAGGAGGCTGAGGCAGGAGGATCACTGTGAGTTGGAGGCCAGCCTGTGCTACATAGTGAGTTCAAGGCCAGCCTGAACTACATAGCAAGCCCTGTCTAAAAAAATCCTCTCAGCACCCCAAAGTCCTGTAGGTTGATAAATGCATGGAGCAGGTACATGCTCTCCACCAGCCCGTGGGTGAGGCCGATGGCAAGCCCTGGTGTGCTTCTCTGCACTGCTCTTCGGGCAGGGTCAGCCATAGAGGAACTGAAAAACCAGGGCAACCCATCACCAGTCCTACACAGGGAGACACGCTACAGTGATGATGATGATGATGATGATGATGATGATGATGATGATGATGATGACGATGACAGTAGCCGTGCACCTCACAGAGCACTTATTACTATTTATATGTAGCAGCCCCGATCAAAGCACTTAACACAGTCCCTGTGCTTCTTCCCATATGACAGAAGAAGTGCCAAGTCAAGGTCACACCGTTCATGTTACAGGGCTGGGGCCCAAGCAGGATGGTTACAGAGCCTCGACTAGTGGACTGTGTCCCCAAGGGAAAAGAAAAGTGCTTGGTGCCCGGGGTGGGGATGGGGGTATGGGAATGGGTGAGGCACACTGCGCCAAAGTTAAGCTAGTTAGGCGCGGCCTTGGTTTTGGAAGATGCAGAGCAGGACAGAGATCCCGGAAGGAGGGAATCATGTGGAGAGAGGTAAGATTTTTCTGGGTAAGATGGCAAGTGTCTGTTCTCTCAGCTACTCGAGTGCTAACCAGGAAGGTTAGAAGTTCGAGGCCAGCCCGGGGAAACTTGGGGAGATTCTGTTTCAAAATAAAAAGAACTGGGTGTGCCATTCAGTAGTAGAGCTCTTGCCTACCACGTGCACCAGGCCTTGGGTTCTAGTCATAGCCTTGCAAACACCAAATAATAAAATAAAATTTAAAAGTGGGATGGTAGGGAATTGCAAGATAATAAAGTCAAGGATTGGGAGCCCAGTATGGCTGAAAGGCACTGGGTCAGTGGAAGTTTCTAGAAAGGTGGGTGCAGCCACGTTGCCAAGCAGTCTTCCCAAGGAATTCAAACCTTGCTCTCCAGGGCTGGACGTCCCCCAGGGTCTTCACAGCATTTGGTATACAGCTGTTATGGGCAAGCCAGGCTGCCAGGGTGAGGCCTGCGTAGAACTTTGGGCAGTTGTCCACTGTGTGTTGATAGAGTTCTTACTCCTTTTTAAAATTCACCCCCCTGTGGAATTTGCAGCTAAATTCTGAGACAATGTCCGCTTTTCCAAGGAGACTTTCCTGGCTTTCCTTCCATTCTCAAAAGGGTTTATGCTTCAGTAATGCAAGGACCCACTTTCGGGCGGTGGCAGTCATGGGAGGAGATGGCCAGGAAGAAGGGGACCTGGATTCCAGCATGTGCGGTTATTGTCCAGCTCTGGGAAGTGGAGGGAGGGTCCCTGCAGAGCCACAGTGGGAAACACAGTACTTCCTGAAGGTCTCTAGGAGGTGCCATGCCAATGAAAGATTACTCCAGTGAGGAAACGCTTGGGGGGAAGCTAGAGCTTTGCGGACGTCACTCCTTTGTCCTCTCTCTGTTGGCGCCCCTCCCCCTCAGTCGTGGTCCCTCAGCTCCCAGCCCGGGTCTGAAGGATAGACTGCTCGGTCCCCACCAGAGCTGCTTAGGGCGCCCTCTGGTGGCCAGGACACGTACGATGGGAGCTGGACTGGGCAGGCTGTGCGCCCTGAGACTTCCAGGCATCTGGAGACAAAGAAGCCCGTGAAGCCCGGAGCCACGCCTAGTTAGAAGCAGAGTCTGCCCCCCTAGTTGCCCAGCAACCTCTGCCCCGCTCTCCCAGCGCTCAGCACACGCTGCCCACCCTCCCTGCAGGGCTTCCAGCGGGCTCCGCAGTGCTCTGCTGCGCCCCCTGCAGGGACCGACGACCAGCCACTCCCTCCCCGCTGCACTTTCTCGTGCTCACGGTTGCTGCGCAGGATGTTCCGCGCCATCCACATTTCATGTCTCCCGCGCCTGAAGACATGAAGGAATCTGCAGGGTTAGACAGCTCAAAAGTAGCTCTGAGCTCTTTTAGTCCGGAGCGCGTGTTTGAGCTCCGAGGCTGCATAAGCAGCTGGCGAGTTGGAGGTAGAAAGCCCAGGAAAGCCGACCGTCTCCTCCCTCTCGCAACTCCTCCTGTCTCCCCCTTCCTAGCTCCTGGCAGACTTGGCCTGAGGTGTGGCCAGGTCTGGGGGACTTTTGCTGCTTTGGATGATTAGACAAGCCCAGAGCACTTCTCGTGCCGTTTACCACACAGCAGGACCCCCAGCACCTGCACCTCCCTTCCGCAAGGATCCTCCCGGCTCTGGCACCTGCCGGCTGCTGATGGTGGGAGCTCCTTTTCCTTTGGGGGCGGGGGGGGGGGGGAGGCTCAATTTCACCTCCTGGAAAATGGATGAAGAGGAAGAAGGGTCAGGAAAGGTGGCTGCCAAGAGAGTGCCCCTCCGCGGCCACAGGAGGCTGCTTCCCTGCTCGCTCCTTTATAGCAAATAATGTACTTTCGTATAATTTATGCGCATGCTCCCATGTTCCTTAAATCATCTGTACAGTATTTAAAGTACCTAATACATTGCCAACGCTAAATACTTATTACACTGCATCATTTAAAGAGTAGACAAGAAAAGATAACTGTATGCTGTGTTCAGTATAGACACAATTTTTAAAAATCATTTTCTACCTGGGCTTGGTTAGAGTCCCCAAATGCAAACCTGCCGCTACAAGGGCTGACAGGATCTTGCAACTCTGATTTTGTTCTTTGTCATAGTTACTTTCTCATTGCTGGGACAAAATACCTGCTGCTCACAGTTAAAGGAAGAAAGGTTTACTTGGCTTGCTGTTGATGGAGTTTTCAGCCCATAGTCATGGCCCCAAAGCAGGGCAGTGGGGCAGAGAGCTGAGGTGGAGGAGAAACAGCTCTTGGCTTGGTGGTGAGAAGCCAGAGAGGGATCAAGAGAGGAGGAGGGAGCTGGACCCTTGCAGGCCACGCCCCCAGTGAGCCACTGCCTCCAGCCATGCCTCCCCACATCACATTTAGCTACAAACTCATCAGTGGATTAGTCCACTAAGAAGCATCACACCTCCACGATCCAATCATCCTCCCCCCTAGTTTCCACCATTGAGGCTTTGGGGGACATGTAGATAGAAACTATAACTCTCGCTTCTGTGAGCCAGCGTGACAGGATAGCAAAGGAAACAACCCTGTAAACTGTGGGGGCCCTGGCACCAGCACAGGTCTATTCTCACTCCTCCCGCCAACTCTCCCTAGATATCTTCTGGAGGGTCGGTTTTCATATCTGTCCATGCCTGTGCCCTGCAGGGGTGGGGCAGAGCCAGGGACAAACTGTGACATGCTCTGCCCAAGTCAGAGGCAGGTGCCCTGAGTCTAAGGCCTGTATGCTCTGCTCTCTTTACACGGTGCACTCTTATCACAGGTGTTGGAACCAGGTCGCCCCAGATCGGCAGGTGTGTCCTGTTGTGACCTAGGCCTCTTTCCTCTTTTCTCACCAGTTACATTCGCTGCTACTACTGGGCTGTGAAGACCCTCATCACCATCGGGGGGCTGCCTGACCCCCAGACGCTCTTTGAAATTGTCTTCCAGCTGCTGAACTATTTCACGGGTGTCTTCGCTTTCTCTGTGATGATTGGACAGGTAGCTGGGTCCCAGCCCTCCACCCACAGGGCCCCTCACTCGCTGCCTGGAGCATCAACCTCTCTGCCTGCTGCTTTGATCTAAGCTGGGGAGAGCACTGGCTGGGTGCAGGGCCCTGCTGGGCAAGAGGAAGGAGGAGGGTGGGCCCCATCCCCCATCCCTCTCCAAGGTCAAGTCCATATACAGTGTCAGGTCCCTTTGGGTTTCATGGCTTAACAAGAGTTAGGAGAAGGGCTGGTGAGATTGCTCAGTGGTCTAAAGCACCTACTTAGAACAAGCTTAGCAAAGCACAGGGACCGCGGTTCAATCCTCCAGCACCACATGCCAGCCAGCCCGCCCCCTGGTGGGCTGAGCTGGCTACGCGTGCGTACACACACACACAAATAAAATTAAAAAAAAAAAAAAAAAAGAGTTAGGAGAAGCCCCTTGTGTTTCTGACCAGCTGCAGGGGGATCTTGTTTTCTCATCAGAGCAGGTGAGACTCAGGGGTCCTCACAGGAGCCTTTGAAGGGCCCCAGCCCAAGGAACTGTATACTGGGTTCATATTTCCTCTACCAAAGGCTTGGACAAAGTGGCTAGGGTGCCTCAGAGTCAGCCCAGCCTGAAGAGGTGTCCTCTCGGGGTCTGAGGCCACCAGAGGGGCCAGCAGCTTCACTTCCTAATCCGTACTAGAGGAGGGATTTTTTTCCCACCAGGAAACTTTTGCATGCAGACGTCTGTCTTCCTCCCTCCCTTCCTCCCCTGAGGATGTGCCCCATCTGAGTCAAGTGACGCATTCTAAAACTTGCTTCCTATCCTGCCCCAGATGAGAGATGTGGTAGGGGCAGCCACTGCAGGACAGACTTACTACCGCAGCTGCATGGACAGCACAGTGAAGTACATGAACTTTTACAAGATCCCTAGATCCGTACAGAATCGTGTCAAGACCTGGTATGAGTACACCTGGCACTCACAAGGCATGCTGGGTAAGACTGTCACTGCCTCCCAAGACCTTCCGGTTCTTCCCTTGTCCTGTGTCTCTGAGGCCCAAGCACTGGGCCCTCACTTGGCTGTGGCCTCAAAGGTTTATGTGAGAGGAACCTGAAGAGGCCTAGGAGGTGGACGTCACAACACTCCTAAAGACTTGAGGGCCTGTCTCCTGGGCTCCCCTCTCTCCTCATTTCACCTTGAGACACAGCTCCGCCAGAGATCAAAGTTGAAGTTTAAACAGGGAAGGAGGAGTCCTTCCTTGGCCCCCTCTCCCATGCTTTCCTCTGCCAGGGCACCTTCACCCCACAGTGGGCACCAAGGACGTGGGCACCTGCAAAGGCCCTGAGGTCACACAAATATGGGCACATTCTCCTTCTGACTCCCTGGCTGCATGGCACTGGGCAAGCCAATGCCCCAGCTTGTCTGTAAGGATGGAGTAGTGAGGCTTCTTGGGTTGCAGAGAGGACTAACTCAGTCTTTGTAAAAAACAAGCACATGAAGTACTGGGAATATAGCTCAGTGGCAGGGCGCTTGCCTAGCATATGCAGATGGCTGGGTTCAACTCCCAGCACCACAAAAATAAATAAAATAAATAAATAAAATAAAAAAGAAGAAGAAAGATTGATTTAAAAGCCAGGCATGGTGGTGCGTACCTGTCATCCCAGCACTACAGGCTGAAGTGTAGGATTGCAGGTTTGAGCCCAGATGGGACAATTTAGTGAGACCCTATCTCAAAATACACAAGTTTTAAAAACTGGGAATGTAATTCAGTGCAAATGCCCTGTGTTCAATCCCTAGCAACACACACACACACACACACACACACACACACAGAGGGGAAAACACACAGTTGGCACATGGTAAACAGATAAACTAGCTCTTGCTAGTGTTCTCCTAGTGTATGTATGGGGGTGTGTTTCATCAACAATTTGCAAAAAACGGATGACCAGTGCTATAACCCTGGAACTCCTGATGCAGAGGCTGTGTGGTAGTGTCCAGGGAAGGACAAACTGGAAGCCCTGGGTAGGTCCATGTGGGGTGGGGGACACCTGGGACACCTGGGGTTCAGCACTCTTGCATGGAGATGACTTCCTGGAAGAGGTGACATTGGTGCTGGGTTTTTAAGAATGAGTGGGGGTTAGTTAGGGAAATGCATAGGACTTTCCGGACAGAGGAACTTATTGACAAAGGCCTGGAAGTGACAGCTGTCGGGATCTGGGACAGCAGGGAAGGTGGTCAGAGCTATAGGTGTGTGAGGGTTGGGGCTGCCCTTGCTCTGATCTCCCATGTCCTGTTCACACACAGACGAGTCGGAGTTGATGGTGCAGCTTCCAGACAAGATGCGGCTGGACCTTGCCATCGACGTGAACTATGACATCGTTAGCAAAGTGGCGCTCTTCCAGGTATGCCCTTGAAGTGCCCTCTCCTTTGGGACTCTGGGGATCCCTAGCCTGGGCATCCTCTAACAGGGCTTCTTCCTGTCCACCCGGGCAGGGCTGTGACCGGCAGATGATCTTCGACATGCTGAAGCGCCTGCGCTCTGTTGTCTACCTGCCCAATGACTACGTATGCAAGAAGGTGTGCACTGCATTGCAGGAAGTGGGCCAAGCCATTGTCCTCCCTGGAGTAGACAGGGCTGGGACACCCCGGGCATGGGGGCACTGTTGCAAAGGGTCAGGAGCTGCATTGTCAGCGGGGATCGGCCTGAGAGTGCAGCTGTCTGGGGCCCAGGCTTTGCCACGTGGGTTCACAGCTCTCTCTTTCCACGTGGGATGGAGCAGGACAGGAGCCCCAATCCACAGGGAGGGGATGGAGGAACCTTGAAGGGCCTCCCTCTTCCCATCAGGCATCCTTGGCAAAGCCATGGGGGGAGCACCCAGAGTTTGGCATTCTTGCATGGAGCTGGCAGCAAGGCTGGGACTGTGCACTGGGAAGATGTTGGCCAAGCAGGTCTGGCAAGCCTGGGAAGCCCCGGCCCAAGAAGGCCCTGACTCTAGGTGTGTGCTGTGCGGCACTAAATCTTCTGGAAGCAGAGCACTGGGGGAAGAGGGAGGAAAGGATGCTGTAGATGGCTGAGAACATAAAGCTTCAGTGTGAGGGGCTGAGAGGGGTTTGGAAACAACAGAGTGATCAGCCTGGGCATGGAAACCACTTCCTAGCTGTGCAGCCCCAGGAAGGTGGTGTGCCTCTCTGAGTCCTGTCCTTCTCACTGATAAAGTGTGGGTATGGGTAAGTACCTCCCATGCAGTGGCTGGGAGAACTCAGTAAGAGAGGCCTGTGGTCTGGTACGGTGCCTGGCACAGAGCGGGTGCCACAGCTGTGCTGTCACCTGCGGGGTGACGCAGTTTGCTTTCTTGAGAGGAGATCAATCAGGCATTGGTGAGGTCAAGGTTTCAAGGTGCGGGTGTGTGAGCAGCGCCCTCTGCCGACTGGTTCTGCTTGATGCTGTCCCTGAGATGCCCAGGGTGCTTGCTAGTGAGGTGTCAGAGACCACAGCCAGGACACTTCCTAACTGCAAAGATGTGCTGGTGTCACTGGGTGCTGTCCAGGTATGACTGACAGGTGGCGGCTGGGTGGTGCTGGGCAGGGCCTGAGGACTAGAAGGTGGCAGGCTCACTACAAGCTGTCTTTCTCCCTCCCTCCTCTCCCTCCCTCCCTCCCTCTCTCCTTCCCTCCCTCGCCCATCTCTCTGTGTTCATTCATTCACCTTGGGACTCAGCCATCATGGGAGTTTGATGAGGCCATCAGACCCTACACAGAATGGCCTCTGCCCTAGGCCCAGCTTCTCTGTTCTACCATCGTTTTCCCACAATGTCCAGTTCCTTTCCTGTGAGGATACCAGTCCGACAGGATTTGGCTTCCACCTTGTTCCAGGGTGGGCTTATCTTAGTTGTATCTGCCACCACCCTATCACCAAAGCAGGTCACATTCTAAGGTGCTGGGGATTGGGATTTCAAAATGTGGATCAGGAATGGGGTACAGTTCAGCCCATAACAGCCATGGACTCTGAAACCAAGTTGGATTTGAATCCTGGCTCTACCTCATCCTTGCTTTATGACCTTAGAAAAGTAGAATCTGGCAGGCTGAGACAGGAGGATTGCAAGTTCCAGCCCATCCTGAGCAGCTTAATGACTTAGCAGAACCCTATCTTTAAAAAAAAATTAAAAGGTCTGGGGATGTAACTCAGTGCAGAGACCTGTGTTCAATCTCCAGGGCAAAACAAACACACTGCAATCCTGCCCCACGTCAGATAGCCTTGGAGGCTAAGGACTTGGACTGCCATGGACAGGCTTGGAGAAGTGCTGTGGACTGCAGGACCTCACTGCCTGTCTCAGTGGGCAGACGCTGGCTGCTGGGGCTGCACATGGATGTTTAGTGATGGCAGAACCACCCCTCCACTTACTGGGCCTCCCTTGTGGGTGTGGGTGGAGATCCACAAAACCATTGCCCTGCACCTCCCAGCTGCCAGGTGCTTTCCATCCCATGCCACCACTGACTGCCACAAAAACCTGTCAGGTGGGCAGGGAAAGGGCTGCTCAGTCTCCCTGGTCCCTGGGTGATGTATTGGAACCCGAGAAGAAAGTGACCATCTCAGACACCACGCCAAGAGGTGGCCTTAGTCCCTGCCTTAGTGCCTCCTTGCAGGTCCACCAGCCTCTGGGCACAGCCCCCAGCTTGGAGGGTGCTCAGAGGTGGTGGAGCAGCTCAGCTTCTTCTGTTTCAGGGTGAGATTGGCCGAGAGATGTACATCATCCAGGCGGGCCAGGTGCAGGTCCTGGGTGGCCCTGATGGCAAGGCGGTGCTAGTGACGCTGAAAGCAGGATCTGTGTTTGGAGAGATCAGGTGAGAGGCGCTGGGGGGCAGGAGGCCCTGGGCATAAGCCTGGAAGGGGGTGCCAAGCGGTGGGTCTGGGTCCTTGGGCTGCAGCACTGGCCCCACTGGGCTGTGCAGGGGAGGTCTGGGTGCCCACTGGCCGCCACTGTGCCCCACAGGAGAGCCAGGGTGGCAGAGCTAAATGAGATCTGAAGCACAGCCTCCAGGCTCCTGAGGGTCTCATGGCCTCCCTTGTCCCCAGCCTGCTGGCCGTCGGGGGCGGGAACCGGCGCACTGCCAATGTCGTGGCTCATGGGTTCACCAACCTCTTTATTCTGGATAAAAAGGATTTGAATGAAATTTTGGTACACTATCCTGAGTCTCAGAAGTTGCTCCGGAAGAAGGCCAGGTATGTGCTGTATTTTTTTTTTTTTCATTAAAAAAAAAATTGCTAAGGACAAAGACTTCCTCTTGCACCCAGAGCACTGTCTGATCAAGACATTCAGCCGTCTCTCTCCTGGGCACTATGCCCCTGTTCCACCAGAGGTTGGAGTAGCATCTTCTAGGGCTCTGCTTTCCCCTTTCTCCTTTCTAGATTGAGGAAAGAGCTGTGGTCTCCACCTTTAATGTCTTTGACTCCTTGGGGGGCCGCAGGCCAGTTATGCTGTACATTGTCCCTCAGTTCACATTTGGCAGGTGTTTTCTTGTAATTACTGTCAGGTTGTCCATATTCAGCAGGAACAGTTGGAAGTGCTGTTGTGTCCCACTCAGTGAGTGAGTGGGGACAGGGGGCTGATGAGTCTTGCTTTTGTTAACTGGTGGTGAGGTTTCTGCACTATAAGTTGCTGGTTTTCTCTTGGCGATAGATAAGCACATAAACTGGGCATGGTGGTGTACACTTGTAGTCCCAGCGCTTGGCAGGCTGGACTGCCAAGACTTGGCAGGCTTGCAAGTCAAGCCAGCCTGCACTATGTAGTAAGCTCAGAGGCAGCTTGAACTACAGAGTGAGGCCCTGTCTCAGCACAACAACAAAAGTTAATTAGTAAGTTAGTTATTAACCCCAAAGGGAGTAACTGTGAGCCAGGCATGGTAGTGAATGCCTGTAATCCCAGCACTGGGAAGGCTGAGGCACGGGATTGCTGAGTTCGAGGTTAGCCGGGGCTACATAATGGATTCAAAGCCAGCCTAAACTACACAGTGGGACCCTGCCTCAGAAAACAAAGGGAATAACTTTCGACCTGTGTGCACTTCCTACCTGCCACCACACTTCCGCCCAGGGCTTTTTAGCACTTGCTCAGGGTTTCTTGCTAAATCACTGATTGCTATAAGGTCTGCAAACTTGTGATTCTTTTCTCGTTTCATATACATTCACTAGCATTCCACCACAAGGAAGAGGCTTTGCTTTGCTCCCATTTGTTTATTCATTTGTCTTTCATATGAGCATGACTTTATTTCATGAATATCCTGTTCTAGTCTCTTTCCTACTTTTATTCTGTGGTATTAGGGATTGAACTCGGGGCCTTTATGCTAAACTACTTCCCCAGCCCTATTTAATTAATTTATACTCTGGTTTCTCTTCAGATTGTATAAAGCTTTCACCTATTTAACTAATTTATCTTTTATTTTGGGTACTAAGTCACTTCGTTGCTCAGGCCGAGCTTGAAGTTGGTGTCCTCCTGCTTCAGCCTTTCCTGTGCTGGCATGACAGGAGTGTACCAACACATCTGGCGGCAGTCACTATTGTGATACTCAAATGTCCCCAGGTTGGCCAGTGGACACCTCCTCATACTGACTCTTGCGACCCTTTCTATGTGCCACCAAGTCACAGCACTTGGTGCTTCTGTGAGGAACGAAGGCACGTCTTGTGCTGTCCCTGCTGAGTCCCCAGAAATGGCCATTCCCCAAGAAGCCGCAATCCCCTACAGGGGAGACAGCAGAGGGCCATTTGGTAGGGTGTGGGGGTGCTGGGGGTTGAGCTGCAGGCCTCCCAGGAGCTGAGGGTGGAGCTACCTGCAGCCTCCCTGCAGCTCACCTGCCACTGAGCTGCCTGCAGCCTGGGAATGGTTCTTCAAAACCAAGGTCTGAGTCCTAGCAGTGCTCGCCTGAGGAACTGCCAGGAGCTATGCCTGGCCTCCCCTGCCAGCCGCACGCATGCGACTGTGTATGTGGATGAGAACAAGTAGCCAGCCACATGGAAGCAGGCACATATGGATGCCAGCGCTGATTACAGGATTACAAGCTCATCCTGTAATCCTAGCACTTAGAAGGGTGATGCAAGAGGTTGGCTGTGAGTCTGCGGCCAGGCCGGGCCACAAGTGAGTTCAAGACCAACCTCGACTACCCAGGGAGATGCTGTCTCAATAAACTAAAAAAGAAAACAAAAGCCATGGATTTTTCTGTCTATATGTCAATCACTCTATCCATAAGATGATTTCAGTCCAACACTACAGAGTCCAGGCTGCTCTTTCCTATTCCATCCTTATATAGCCCTTCTCCACGGCTGCAGAGTGTGGTTGCCTTTATCCTGTTCAGTGCTACAGTGAAAGGTAATTTCAGGATTACCTACCGCTGCTAAAAAAGAAATCTTCAGCTATCCTTGGTGGTGCAGACCTGCCATCCCAGCTACACAGGCTGAGGCAGGAGGATCATAAATTCAAAGACAGCCTGGGCTACCTAAAACGGCCTGGGGACATAGTGCAGCAGTAGAGCATTTGCCCTGCATGTGGAAGGAGGCCTTAAGGTTCTATTTCCAGATCATCATCACCAATAAATAAATAAATAGGGAGGCAGGGGAGGTAGCTCAGTGGTCTAAGCACCTGCCTAGCAAGCTTAAGGACCCAGGTTCATTCCCAGGCCACCAAAACCAGGCATGGTGGCATACTCCTGTAATTCCAGCACCAGAGAGGCTGAAACAGGATCACTAGGAGTCCAAGATGTAATCTAGTGACTAAGCAAATGCAGCAGGGGCCACAACAGAGAACAAGTGAAGCTTGTATTTTAGCCAAGAAATAGAGGATTAAAACAAACACTGTAGGGCCCACGAGATAGCTCAGTGGTCTAAAGTGCCTGCTTAGGCAAGCTTAGGCAGGTGCAGGGGACCTCAGCTTGATCCTTGGCATTGTTACATGCTGCGCCAGCTCCACCCTCAGGGTAGGCTGAGC